GCGGCGCCACGCGGACGGCGACGACGGTGCCGGGCAGGATGGCGCGGAAGGCGAGCTCGGTGTGCGCGCCGTCGGGCCGCGCGCCGTGGAACACGTGCGACTGCGCCAGCGGCACGGCGCGGCGCACGCTACACTCGTAGTCCGCCGCCAGGCCGGAGATGACGCGCGGGTGCGGGCTGAAGGCGCCCGGCAGCCGCAGCGGATCGCCCTCCGACCTGTGCGCAGTGGCAATGTTTTGTACTCTATTCTAAAATAACGTGACTAAAAATATCCACGAGTTTCGGAAGAGTCAACCGAGGGATTAAACAACTGAAAAAGTCTAATGATTAAGTTTAGTTTTAGTCGCTTAGAGAAATAGAAAAGTAGTAAGTACTTGTGGTCGACGTGGCGCAGACAGGCCTCGAGCACGATCTCCTCCAGGTCGCCCTCGAAGCGCAGGGGGCGCGGCGCGCGCGGGCCGGCCGGCGGCGCGAAGCACGTGAAGGCCACCAGCACCACGGAGCGCCGCGACACGGGGTCGTGGCGCGTCACGGCCACCACGTCGGCGTCCATCTGGTCCACGAACACCTCGCAGTAGCCGGCGCGCGCCAGCCACGCGTGCAGCTCGTTGAGCGCGCGGCGCGCCGCCGTGAGGCCGGTGTCGGGCCCGACGCGCGGGCGCTCGGGCTCGGGCTCGCCCCAGTCGGCGTACAGGCGCTCCTCGTCCACCACGTGCACGGCGTGCGGCACGAGCTCGTCCAGGCCGCGCGTGGAGCCGCCGGCGCAGGCCGCGGCCGCCACGAGCGCGGCGGTGGGCAGTACGTCGAACACGGTGCGCTTGTGCAGCGGGGACGGGTTGTCGTGCGTCTGGTCCAGCAGCATGGCGTGGGCCACGCGGGGCGCGGCGGCGCGGCGGGGGCCCCGCAGGAAGGCGCCCACGGGCCGCGCTCCGAAGCGGTGCAGGAGCCGGCCCTGCTCGTGCGCGTCCCAGGCACTCAGCGCCTCTGCACCGACATGCGCATTAGCTCTACTACTGTACCGAGGTGTTTGCTTTTGATGTCGTATTACATATTCCTTTTATAAATGTCAAAATTGTCTTTATATTATTACATATTATTTCACTTCGATAAAATAATCGATTATTTCAAATTGATAACGATAAGAATTGAAATTTTAAATATTTATTTCACTTTGTAAGTAAATTCGTGTATCAACTTAGAATCAAATTTTCTAGCAAAAAGTTTATCCATTTATTGTTTAACTAGCTACTTCCGCGCGGTTTCATCCGTTCTGCTGAGATCCTATTGATCGCATTTGGGTATGATATGAATATATTATATACATGTTGCTGCTCGGCTAGACCCAAAAGATCTGAATTTTCTCCAAAAACTCAATCACATGAAAGTCGCTGAGGACATACTAAAACGAGTTAGTTCGGCCTCAACATTCATGAAACGCATTGTTACTGGTAACGAGACGTGGGTTTACGAGTTTGACATACAAACTAGTCAACAAGCTTCGGAGTGGCGCCTTCCAACTGAACCGAAACCGAAAAAACCACGCCCAGAGTCGATCAAAAGTCAAAGTCATGTTGACTGTTGTGCACTCTGAATTCTTACCTGAAGATCTAACGGTAAATAAAGAATATTATTTGAGCGTTATGCAGCGTTTAGTTTTAGCGATAGTTTTTCACAGAAATCCCTCGGGAACGGGAACTACGTGTTATAATGCCCCGAAACTCTTATGTATCTCTTAACCACTGAACTTATTTTCGAAAGATTCGATACGTTAGTCGATAGAATAGTTTTTATCACTAAAACCCTACGGGAACTGTTCTGGTAAAATCTTTGCGGGATTATTTATTTTTTGAAACCACTATAAATTTATTTCACAATAAAACGCACTTAGCCGCTCTATCGATTCTGATGAATTCTGCCATTAATCTACGCGGCACGGCTACGCATAAATTAGTCATTAATCTACGCGGACGAAGTCGCGGGCAACAGCTAGTTTATTTTTTAAATGTAATACAATATTACTATGAAATCTCAATTTTATCAACAGACAGAAATAAATAAACAAAGTATTTTCATGCCTCAGTTTTGTAAATATACTTGTTAGTGTGTCGTACCACGGATGAGCGAGGTGATGCCCAGTCGGTTGACGAAGATGTTGTCGACGTGGTCGGAGTTGGTGAACAGCTCCGCCACCACGTACAGGTCCGGCTTCACGTTGCGCGCGCAGTCCAACATGTACTCCGCCACCTGAACACAGCGCACTGTCAACGCGGGGCCCGGCCGGACGGGCGGGGCCAGCCGGACGGGCGCGGCCAGCCGGACGGGCGGGGCCCGGGCCCATACGCACGTGTAGTGGCGTAGAGTGGCAGTTGTCGAGGCGCAGGCCGTCGAACACCTCGGCCGTGAGCTCGACGTACTCGCGCATGTGCGCCCACAGGAAGGGGCTGTCCTCGGGCTTGTCCCCGTAGCGCAGCTTGACGGAGTCGCCCCAGGCGATGAGCTCGCGGCGCAGGTAGACGCGCGCGGCGGCGGCGCGCGCCGCGAAGTCCTGCAGCGGGTCGGCGTCCATGACCCACCCGTTGTGCGCCATGCACAGGCGGCCGGCGTCCGAGTACAGCGCGGCCTCCAGCTCGGCCAACGAGCTGCTCTCCACGCTGCAGGCCCACGTGAAGTACCTGCGGACCCACGTCACATGGCCGTCACTGTCCACGCTCCGAGCCGAGCCCAGTCTGCGGTCGCACGTTCTCACCTGGGTACCAGCGGATGTTTGGCGCTGACCTCTTCGATCTTCGGTCCGTCGGATTGTAATCGATAGTATCTGGAACGAGACGTCTGTGTCAGATTGTCGGTCGGGCTTTCACAGACCGATAGTAGGTATAGCCCCACTAGTCCAATTTTAGTCAAAACCAGCTTAAGTCGCATATCTTACATCCCGAAATAAACCTTAAAACAATAGGGATGATGACGGAGTATGAAAATTTAATATCTAATTACTCCGTCAGTTATTTAATGAAAAATATTAGTCACGTATTTTTTAATTTGTCGTATAATAAAATAATACTTAGTTAAAACGAATATACTAATAAAACGAAAACTACGAATAAAATTTACATAGAAGTGACGTCACGCGACATTTCAAATCAATGGACCGTCGAAAGTATTTGTTTCTGTTAGAAAACAAAAAATACGTACCTCGTGTTTTAAAATCATCTACTAGACGGACATTAAAATGAAAGATTAGGCATAAATGTACCCTATTATGCAGGATTTATTTGGTATCAGTATCAGTGCAAAGTATTATGTATAAGACGGTACAGGTACAATCTTTTACGTCAAAGTAGATTTAATTGACAAGTAAATTCTGGTACCCGGCTATAAGGACAGTGTTGTTAGTGTTAGCAACTATACATTTTAGTTCGTTATTGATAAACGCGTCATAAGTCAATAAATTTTACTATTCGACCAGGTCATCTTATTATATGTTTAACTAGCTTCTGCCCGCGACTTCGTACGCGCAATCCCGATATTTCCCGTAGCCGTTCTTGATTTTCGGTTAAAAGTAAAAAATAAGTATTGGGTAAAAAGTATTCTATGTCCGTCTCCTGGTTCTAAGCTACATCCTCACCAATTTTCATCCAAATCGATATAGCCGGTCTTGAGTTATAAATAGTGTAACTAACACGACTTTCTTTTATATATATAGATTCCGATCGATCGACATTGGTATTGTGAAATTTCGTACTCTTGAGTCAAGGTAAGGTAATAAAAAGAGCGCTATGCTATACCCGGAGGCGTACAAATTGTGGTATTTAAAAATGTCACTTAGGTCAAAATAGGTCAATTAATTAAAATGTCTAAATGTATTACATGTCAATATCAAAAATTAATTTTTAATAAAATTATTTCAGTCATTCAAGTTAAATGTAACAAACAAAATTAAATAATGTGATAATAATACAATATAAATAGACAACATACAGTTGTCAAAGTTTCGCAATTGCAGGTTAATAATTTATTAATAATTCAGTCACCAAGTATGTGGTCACCCAAAAAATATCGATATTGCAGGTCAATAATTGTGGTCATTTAAAAATTCCGTTAAGTTATAAAAACATTTGGCTATAAGATATTTTTTTAAATGTATTTTAAACAGAGTAGTGGGCAATTGTTTAATAGGTTTAGGGAGTTTATTATATATTATTGGAGCCAAACAAAAGATACTTTTTCGCATTAACGCCGTTGTTGATCTAGGTACGCACAGTCTATTGTTATCCCGTCGATTACGTATACAGATATCTGTTATCTTCTCGTACAAGTTGAGATTACTCTTCACAAAAATAGCCACCTCATAAATGAACAAGGAAGGGAGACTTAAAATATTATATTTAATGAAATATTGTTTGCAACTATCAGTCATTTTTAGGCCGAACATAGCTCTGATACATCTTTTTTGAGCTTTGAAGATAGTTTCTTTGTTGGTAGAATTTCCCCAGAATATTACTCCGAATCTCAGTATCGAGCCAACAATACCATGGTAAGCAGTTATCAGCGCATGGGTACTTATGATAGGCTTTAATTTTTGAAGGGCATAAGCAGAAGAACAAACTTTCTTATTTAGTTCTTCTGTGTGAGCTTTCCAGTTTAGACTTTTGTCAATAGTTATACCCAAGAATTTTGTTGTATCTATCTTTCTTATAGCAATAGATTTATATTGAGCATTAATATTTGGTGCTTTTAAGCGTTGATTAAAGAACATAATTTTTGTTTTTTCAAGATTAATTTTTAAATTATTATTGTCTAACCAGTCGATTGTTGAACTTATAGTATTATTAATGTCATGTTCGTACATATCTCTCTCTATAGAATTAATAGTTACCGTACTGTCATCAGCAAACAGTGAGACTGGATATTTCGTTACCAATGGCAAGTCATTTATGTAGATTATAAACAACAGTGGACCCAAGACGCTCCCCTGTGGAACTCCGTATTTAACGACACGTGTTTTAGATGCATGTGTTGTCTCTTTTTTGGTAATGATGTTAATTTTAGTTATTTCTGTATATTGTTTGCGGTTTTTTAGATAAGACTCAATAAGATTTCGTACATTTCCTCTCACTCCATAAGCTTCCAGTTTACAGAGGAGAATGTCGTGATCAACGTAGTCGAACGCTTGGGTCATATCACAAAATATGGAGCAGACTGGCACTCTCTTATCCACACTACCCATAACATTACCCATAACATGAACTAAATGGTATCGAGTTTGGCTTCATATTCCGTACCCTGAGTGCTATTTTAACAGCTACGATTATGGTTGTATAGTGTTGACATTGAATAATTATTGAGATTTTATTGGATTGAAATGCATTGACATTGAGATTGGTTTCAAGAGTAAGCACCCCGTTCTGAAGGCAGTACGCATGTGTCGTTTTACAATCAGCTCAATTTACAGGTGAAGTTGACTGATCCGACGAACAATACCAACCTAAAGAACATTTGGGTGGGTCGCACAAATACTCAAACTATCAGAATATGGGTAATTAGAAAAGAAATGGCGAGGCAAAGTCTCGCACGGTCCTTGCACTGACAATTGCTAAAGTGTTGTGTTAAAGTATATGCATATGCAATCTATTTTATTTGTTATGCAAACAACCCAAATTGTTATGAGTTTTCATTAACAAATTGAAATCCAAACACATTAAGAATTCTTCGGAATTGTTTAGTACACAATGTCGTTTGAGGGCAGCTGCACCAACGCATGCAGCGGTGCTTAACTCGTCGAGTACCGTACCGTAATGTCGGTTCTCGACGAGTTAAAAGATGTGATGGCGCAAGGGTGTCTACACACGTCGCGTCCCACAACAAAGGCCTACCCATCTTCCAATTTGCAATGTATTAAACTTATAACTTTCATGCATGTTACGAAATCATATTAAAATCGATATCGATATACCTACATATAAAATCTGTATCTACTGGCACATCACTAATTGAGAAGTATCTAATTCTAGAATGCAATCAATGATGTTTAACTTTATAACAATCAAGTCAAATTATATTTTATAAGATTACATGTCAATTTAAATTATTAAGATTTTATAGGAAAATAAATAAAATAGTAGTTACCGATGGTATGAGACATCACTATGTTTAATATTGATTGCAGGTATTACTTCTATTTTTGTAGGAACGGCCTATTTACGGAAAACAATATTATTTCGGGACGTGTGACCCATTGGCAGAATAGGTACGTCTATAAACGTCTTTGGAACGTCTGAAGCGAAAGTAAGATACTAGTAAGCGCCTATGACACGCGTGCCACGCCTACATCAAACATCACCTATTTTTTTTCTATATTCAATGAAAATAACGCACTGACGCGGTTATTAAAAAATGGAGGAAATTCAAGATGAAAAAATTATATTTACATTATAGAAGCATCGTCCAAGCAGCCTTTTATTTTAGTATAGCCATGTAGGTACCTACGTCGAGCGTGATAGAGTGAGCCGCAGTAACGTCAGTACCTGATGCCCGCGATGACGTTGTCGACGGCGGCGCGCAGGTGCTCCCGCAGAGTGTCCGCCGCGGCCTCGTTCAGTTGCTCCAATTTGCGCTTGAATTCTTCACAACATTTCTTGAGCCGCGATTCCTCGTCGTAACATTCCGCTCTGATATCAATAATAATACATTAGCTAGTAATTATACGCCGTTACCAGAATTTGTTCCACGGTAGTCGTGCTCGCCTGTATACGTTGTAGAGCTGTAGCGCGCGGTCCATGTCCACCGTCGCGCGCAGGCGCCGGTACTGAGGGTCCGGCTGCAGGCGCAGCTCGCCGGGACCCGCGCCGGGTCCCGCGCCGGGGCCCGCGCCAGGGCCCTCGCCAGCGCCCGCGCCAGGTCCCGCGCCTTCAGAGCTGGAGCCCAGCCCGGCGCCCGCGCCCACTGCTGCCGGGGCCGGCACTCTGCAACCGACGTTTGGGAATAAAGAACTATGCGTGCATTCGATACTTTCCTCTGACATTTATAAAGTTTTTTATTTACACCCTCACTTGGTGGGTATGACCACCCATCGCATATTGTTATAATCAGTCAATTCGTGTGTTGTTTTTGTGTCACACATGTTTTTTTTTAGAAATAAAATCATATAGTTTTTATTATTACAGTATTTATTATTACTATTCGTTATTTTTTTTTTGCATATTACACAAGCCCATTTTCGCTGAGCTTACATTTAACCCAATGGTTAACTGGGACTGGGAGAAAATGCTATATGGCATTAAGTCCGCCTTATGTACCTTATTTTGTGTGCATTAAAGTTTAAATAAATAAAATAAATAAATAGCTAATATCTGTCACGAGTGCGGGTGCGACTCACTTGTTGCGCGCCATGAAGTAGAACTCCTGCACGAGGTCGGTCGCGTTACACATGTACATCTCGTGCAGGCGCGCCTCCGGCAACACTTGCGTCTGCAGTAGCACGCGCAGCGCCTCCAAGTGTTCGTGTGACGTCACAGTCCGGCCCACGCCGCGCGCCTCGAGGTCGCCGCGCGCCACGTCCGCCGTGAGCCGCGCCAGTAGCGCGTCCAGCAGCGCGGCCGGCCGCAGGTGCGGGCAGTTCGAGCAGTTGTACGTGGCCTCGGGGTGCTCGCTCAGCCACGGCGTCTCGTTGGCCGTGTGGTTCAGCACTATGTCGCAGATGGACAGCATCTGCGCACGCGTCGCTCGTCAATCGTCACTCACCGCTCGCAGAGTGGAATGTGGGGTTGCCGGGTTGACGCTCACCTTCCACTCGGTGCGCATCTTCGAGACGATATTCTCAACGTCAGCGAAAGTGGGCTCGCGGCCCGCGTCGGCGCCGAACTGCGGGTTGAGGCGCAGCTGGTTGGCGATACTGTAGCTGGAGCGAGACGCGCCCAGCTCCTGCACGGGCGTGAAGTGAAGCATGTTGTAGCCGGCCTCGCGCGACACGCGCAGCGCGGCCTCCCAGCGCGGCAGCGGCCCCAGACACTTGGCCAGTACTGTATGACACATAATGCCGTCCAACGGGATCTCGTCGCGGCCGCCGGGACCCACGCGCAGTGTCGGCGCCACATGGAACCAGCCCGAGCCTTGCGGGCCCACCGACGACTCCCTGCAAGAGACCGCGGTGAGCATGCAAGCGAGTAATAGACTGTAGTAGACGACGCGGCGGGACGACACTCACGCGTTGTCGTAGACGAAGTAGTAGTGGAAGGAGCCGGCACGCGCGAGCCGCAGCTGGCAGTAGAAGTCGGTGTCGGTGATCAGTAGCCCGGTGCCGAGCGGCGCAGGCTCGGCCTCGTCCTCGGCCTCGCGATACCACTCCAGTCCATAGTACTGATTGCGGATGAACTCCGCTTGCTCATTGCTCTTATCGTCTTCTGCTGGTATGCATGACTAAATTTAGAAGTATACATGACCTATACAATGATTACACAAATGTCGTCATGTAGGCAATAATATTAGGTCGTTACCTATGAAATTGCCGTTCAGCAGTACTGGCCATGGCAAATGAAGTAATTGTGTTGTTTGTTTGCCTAAGAATTCCAATTTTAAATTAATTTTATTTTAAAATCAAAGATTTTTTTCTAAAAGTTGTCATTGTTTATTATTATGTCTTTACCATTCACGGGACCACAGGGTCCCGGTCATTTGGGAGGCGTACGAGGGGCCGAAGCCAACTGCGCAGAGGCCCTTTAGACAACTTTAATCTAAATGTAATGGAGACACAAACCGGCGACTATCCCTGTATGCACTATGGAAATGCACCCAAGGACAGTCCCCGGTTAGTGTAGGACTATTGTGTCATTAATGAAAAAAAAAAGGTAGGGCTATGGATGGGTTGCTGTGGACTGGTAAATTGGGAACTATGGATGACTATGGCACCTGCCGAAACAATATAATTTTTACACGTAAAAATGGCAGGCGGAGACTCGCCAACTCACCGACCGGGCCCCGAGAATGGTTGCTAGATATAGCAACATAGGGGCAACGAGAATGTGAGTGGCTGAAGGGTTAAGAAACTACCACCGCTTTCTACTCAGATCATCTGCTCCAGCCGAAGCCTCCTGCATCCCTGGCCCACTCGCGACTTACGAATAGTTTCTTACCCTCCGAGCAGGATCACTGCTCTCGCGACTCCACTTTGGACGGCCAATAAAGGCAAGCCAGAGGTGGGAGACCTGTTCCTTGTCATCGTTCACTCCAGCCAGCCAATTAAGGCAAGCCGGAGAAGAAGGAACGGTGACTTCTCCCTGGAGCACTCGAGATGATAGTAGCCAGCGGGATCGCTAATGCCCGTCACCTCACCTCAAGGTGCCCTGCGGGCTTATTATTATTATTATTAGTAGATTAGTGTTACATTTTCATCGCATTTTAATATTATCCGTCGTGATGGATACTTTAAAAATTCGAGTAATTAGATTATGGGTAGATACCGTCGAGGCAGCAATGCGGAACAAGCGGCATGCAACATCGACGACGTTTACAGAGTTAACATCAACCAACGCACCACCTGTTATTGGTTTGCTCGCTTCCGTTCTGGAAATTTCGACCTAAAAATGAACTTTGCGTTCGTCCGATGACTTTGGTCGACAATGACGAATTAACTCGTCGAGTACCGTCATTATAGACACAATTATAGAACAATAGGTTGCGGTCACCGGTGACCGCTTGGTGTTTGACAGTTTAAAAGCGAATTTCGAAGCTGATACACGATCTAAGGCTGAATTAGCAGCAGATTTCAATGTTAGTGTCAAAACAATATTGGTCTATTTGCGTCAAATTGGCACGGTAAAAAAGCTTGACAAATGAGTGCCCCACAAATTGAATGATCGCCAGCGCGAAGTACACAAATGCAGGAATTTTGAACCGCATTGTTCCCTGCGATCTGGATTCTGTTTGATAAACACAAGCGCTCAGCAAGTTGGCTGGATCCTGGTTCAGCACCTAAACAATGCCCTAAACGAAAACTTACCCCTAGAAAAGTGATGGTCACTATTTGGCGGTCTTGAGCAGGTGTGATTCATCACAGCTTCTTACCAAAATAAGGTGAGCATTGCTGCAGATGTGTATGACCGACGGTCTCAAAGTTGCGAGAATTTGGTTCGAAGCTTTCCGTCATCCGCCCTAATCCTTGCGCCTTTTCCAGAATTTGGATAACTTCTTGGCGGGACAAAATTCAATACCCGAGAGGCAGCACAAAGTGCCTTTGAAGAATTTGTTGTCTCCCGTCCAGCTGATTTCTAAACTGTCAAACACCAAGCGGTCAACGGTGACCGTAACCTATTGTTCTATAATTGTGTCTATAATGACGGTACTCGACGAGTTAAGAAGGGCATCAATATACTGCCACAGCATTGGCAAAGATACTTTGATCGCATGAGTGATTACGATCAATACAAATAAAATAAAAAAATGTCATACAAAACGGCAATTTCTTAGGTAAGGACCTATTATAATGTAAGCAGAAGATCTATTCTATCTGAGTGAATAGGTATGACAATAAAATATAAAGATTATAAACCAAGTCAGTCTATCCTTACATCATAGAAAGTACCTATTTACAAAAGTAAAAAATACAGAAGAAAAGGTACCTATTCAATTACTACCTATGTATAATATGTGCATGTGTGTAATATCTACACATATTATGTACCTAAAATACAAGGTAAGTAAGATTAAATTTTAACCGACTTCACAAAAAGGAGGAGGTTATCAATTCGGCTGTATGTTTTTTGTGTGTATATTACCCGATTACTCGAGCGTTTGTGGACGGATTTTGATGATTATTTTTTTGTTGGAAAAGTCATACTCTCGGGGTGGTCCCATCTCCACCAGGTCAGGATCTGATATATATATAATAATAATATAATAAATAACCCCCAACCACCACCTTGACGTGGTGGGAGGGCTTGCGGAAGGCATTAACTAAAATTAGGTCATTAAGAACTTGACCCACCCTTTACAGGAGACCCAAATGTTTTTAAAGCCACTTACACTTCGGCGACAGCCTTCCAACTAACGGTCCCAATCATCGGTACATTTGACCCAGTCACAAGCTAAAAGTATTTTCTTCCCAATGTTCCTCTCCTCTCACTCCCTTAACCTACTTTATCTACCTCAACTTTTATACTTTTCACTTTTTTTGCCATGATATCTACTCTTGTCAGTGCCTAACCACCAAGATATAATTCACAAAAAACATCAGACCAACGCAGATCCATTGTCAATAATCAATTGTTACCCATTGACCGACTTAATCAGATAAGAGAAGAAGTTAGGAGTGAATTAGCTTCCGAAAATACAGACAACAATGAATTACCAATACCACAACTGACAGTACAGGCAACACAAACACAAACACCAATAAATACTAATGCTAGTCACACTGAACCAACAATATCAAAGCCAATAGAGCAAAACTTGTTTCACTTTTAAACTGTCAAACACCAAGCGGTCACCGGTAACCGCAACCTATTGTTCTATAATTGTGTCTACAAAACCGGTACTCGACGAGTTAATCTGCCCACTGAGATCCTTGAACAATTAGAGCAAATTTATATAAATCACTATAACAAATTCAAAGACCCCACAACGAGGCCATATATCCCTAAATTAAAATCCTCCAGAAAACTAGCGGCTATTACAACTCATCTAAACACTCACATACTCCCAAAGATACTGACTTCTGATACTGACTTTCACACTCTTCAGACATCTATTTATTGCGCAACATACACAATAGCCATATTGAATGGAGCCAGGATCAAAGAAACCAATGTAATCAGTAAGCAATCTGGAAAAGTACCTTGGTGTCAAAAACGATTGGAACGTAGTATTAGTGAGCTCAGAGCCAACATAGGAAGGCTTAATGAGTATGCAAACGGGGCCCGGGCGCCCTAGAAGAACACATTAGTAATATAAAAAAGACATACAAAATACACACACAACACGAAACAGAAAATACCGATATTACACATTTTTTAGACACATTAAAACAAAAACTTAACACACTAGCAAGCACGTATAAAGAAACGACAGCGAGAAAAACACAAAATACACAGTTTAATAATAACGAAAAACTATTCTACCGAAAATTAACTCAACTATACAATAAGTCACAAGAAAATAACACACCACTACCGACTCCTGAATCACTACACGCATTCTGGTCAAATATTTGGTCTAACCCTGTCACACACAAAGAAAGCACGTGGATTGTGGAAGACAAAGAAAGATGGATAGATACACCGGAAATGGAATTTGACCAAATTAGTTTACAATTATTACAAACAGTCACATATTCACAACTTCTGGTATAAGAAGGTATAACATGTGCATGCACTCCTACATTACTACTTCAACACATTAAAACATTCATCCAATCTCCTGACACAATGCCACCATACATCACACAAGGCACCGCATACATGCTGCCAAAAGACCCATCAGACACAGCTCACACAGCTAATCCTGCAAAATACTGACCCATCACTTGCTTACATACAAAACATATAAAAAAAATCACTCACACATCAATCACATCTTGCCTCAGCGACACTATGTACAAACTAAGATATTGTGTTTTGTGAAAAAATAATAAAGGTTGTAAGGAACAACTAACCATTGACGCCGTAGCATCCAAACAAGCACTTAATCAAAAACGTGACATACACACCCTGTACGTAGACTATAAAAAGCTTTTAATACACACATCAATAAGGTCTGTAGGAAGGCATACAGGAACCTGGGGTTTGTACTCAGACAAACTCAGGGGTTCACCAACATCACGACACTCAGGGTACTGTATGAGTATGACGCATTAGTGCGGAGTCACCTCGACCACAGTGCAGTTGTATGGGCACCGCACGAGGCGAAATACAGCGTCATGTTGGAACGCGTTCAAAATAAATTTACAAGGCACTTGTATTTTAAACTTTATGGAGTTTATCCATTTTACCCCCTGATGTACCCTACTCTATTTGTTCTGGGTATGGTAGGGTACAAAGAGCTAAGGGTGCGGAGGGACTTTGCGTTGGTAGCGTATGTGGTGAAGCTGCTGCGCGGCGTAGCGCATAATCCGGGGGTGCTGCGACACCTGCAGCTATGTGTGCCGGACCGTTATGTGTGGAAGAGGAGACGCCCGCCTCTCCTCGCTGTGCCGGCAGCCAGAACCAACTTACTAGCTAGGGCTCCTCTCACTAGAGCTATGAGAGTAGTGAACGAAGTCCATGAAAGGGTGGATGTATTGTGTTGCAATGTGAGTGAATTCGTAAAAGTTACGTTGTATATATTATGTTATTTAAATGTTAATTAAGATTATTATTTCATTTCATTTTTTTATTATTGTTATTTAGTAAGTAGTTCACCGCTGATCTCGTGACCATAAAGTCTTTAGTATTATCTCTTTTTTTTATGGATAAATGTTAAGATTAATTAAGTTTGTGTATGCATATGTATTAGTAATTAGGTAC